TTTAATCCCATCCAAATAAAGTGACTGACTAATCAGCTTCTTTTACAAAGACTCTGGTCCAAAGACTATAACTTCTGTTTTGTCTGAATTCAGGAGCAGAAAGAGTCATCCAGATTTTTTAGTCTACAGACATGCCTGTAATCTATGTAATGGGTTAGCTTCATCTGGATTTATAGACAGATATAGCCGAGTATCATCAGCATAACAGTGGAAATTAATCCCATGCTGTCTAATAATTCTACCAACTGGTGGCATATATACTGTATAGTGAAGAGAATTGACCCTAGCACCTCCCTAAATGAGGAAGATTTAGAGAAGTTTAAGAAGGTTTCTTAAGCCAAAGTTTAATTGCATCTGCTTAAAAACAGGGATACGTTAATCATATTTGAAATTGAGGAGGAAATCGGAGGGAATCAATCTTATTTATAAATAATCCTATAAAATAACTTGATCATTCAAGCTAAACATTCACAAATGTTGTTTCTTTAAGTATAAACCTAATATGACCCACAGGTTGAATGAGTTACAGCCTGTCGCAATTTTACATTTTATACATCTTTAAAGTATTAATTTGGTTGTTAATTAACTGTTTAATAAATAAAAAAAAAGGATTTGAGCTGCACTGAGAAGATTTTAATTGGAGGAGGCCATTATACCAGGTGAAACCACACTGGGATAAACTCAGCAGCTCAAACTTGCACGAAGAAATGTTCAAATGGTGAAGTAAAGATTCTCTGGTAGGTCTTGGTGTTTAATTACATTTATTACAGGAGGAAAAACATTGGATAGCACAGAGATAACTCATTATTAACCATGTTTCACTTAAGTCCTTGTTGTTTCAAAAGGTTTCTGCTTCACCATCTAAAGAAAATACTGTAAAAAAAGAAAAATCAAAAGAATCCGTCTCGTCTTCAAAACTAAAGACGACACGATACTGAATGAAAACAAACAGGCTCAAGCCCCAAAGGTTTGCGTCATACAGCAAACAGTGAGGCCTGCTTTTAACATAGGATACAAGGAGGAAGATTTAATTACAATCAATAAAATATTTCAATGTGTTAATTCAGATTAAAAGCTAAATACAAAAAAAATGTATACACAGCAATTTCATTTAGAAACAAAGTCTTCATGCAAAAATACAAAACTATCCACCGTTTAGCCCCCCTGGTCGGGACCAACAGCGTCTGACCTGGATAAGGAATCCTTTATACAAGTATTAATAAAATAAAAACAAATCCGTAGAAGGTTTAAGGGCGGCGGTCGTATTCACTGATCTTGGTCTTGATGTGCGACAGTTTGGATTTCAGATATTTACACCTCCTCTTCTTCACCTGGTAATCTGGGGACTGAAAAGAGAAGAACACAGTTTAAATATTAATTGAATGTCGATCGGCATGTTTGAGACAAAACCAAGTTATAAACTGAAACATAGCTTCAAATAGCTACTTCTACTCTTATTCAATACTCTTTAAAGGAGTTTTCGTCTATTTGCAACCTCACTGTTGGTATTATTTTTTAAATGATTTTCAAACTGACTTTTCTAGGCTCTTATTTTCTTCCACTGAATGAACAGATTTGGAAAGATGGACTGGGTGGAGTGAAGGAGACCAGTTAAAGACGCAAAATTGTAGAAATTAAGCAAACTGTAGTATTTAACAAAGTTATTTACAGATTCAGAGGAGATTTCTGCTTTATATATAATCAGGGTTTGTCTTACCTTCTTGAAGTTTTTAAGTTGTGTGTATTCATTCAGGGCATCCTGAAATTAGACAGAGTCGTCATCAGTCCCACAATGTAGAAACATATTATATAAGGCTGACTCAACTTTGTGCTAAAACAAAGCAGCCAACAGTTTCAGTACTACTGTGCCTTCTTGTTATTAATGCAGTTTTGAAATTATTAGCAGAAATATGTTCAAAAAACACATCAGTCTTTGCATTAACCTCCATTATCAGCATATGGAATCACCGACATCATAGAAAGTCATGAGTGTAAAACAGAAAACAGCGAGGTCCAGATCTGGTGAGGTTTGTTCATCACATTCAAAGCATCTTTTGAAAACATGAAGCTTTAAATTAATTTTTATTAAATCCAGATTTCATTCTTTAAAATGTTTATGTATTGGTCTGATGCAGGAGTCTGCAGCTCCCAGTTCCTGAACAACAAGGGGCTCTTTGGAGCAAACATACCAGTATGTTTAATTAACTCTTATGGTGTGTCTCAAGCCAAACTATGTTATTTTTATTAAATATTTTATATGCCATGATGCATTTAGATTGTGCTCTGATATTTGTGGTTTTATGGTTGGTAATGTAGCTTAGAGGTGCCCAATGATTAGCCATCCCTAGGAGGTGATTGGTTGTTTTCATATGCATGCAGGTAAGTCCCCTTCCAGAACAAGCGGTTCCCTTCCAGACCAGAAGATGGCAGCAGTGATACCATCAAGGGGAATGTCCCTACCAATTCAGCATATTACCGGTAATCGTCAGTATTTTTATCATTAATTGAGAAAAGTACAGTAATTACTCATGAAAATATGCAAACATTGAAATATGACAAATAGAAAATTATGATCTTTTTAGAACTAATTTTGTCTTCCCATTTTTTGTGAAGCCCTTGCTAATAAATCTAGATACATATTCTTCAATTTATGGTGTCTAAATTAACTTTCTAACTAACTCCTTTGTCATCCTACAGAATATTAATATTAAATGGGTTAAGCAGTGATTCTGAATGTAAATAAAAACTCAGGTATGATAAGTGTAGATTGGTCTTGAACTGGTTTGGGTGCCTATTAGTTTTTGGCCACCCTGCAGGGCCTATTGGTCCCTGCCTGGTCACCCCATGAACCCCACTCTGCCAGTGTTACGGCTGCCTCTGTTGGTCAAGGCTCTATTTGAAAAGTGATTTTACCTTAAAATAGTGGTTATTGAAGTGACAACTAGCAGAACAAAGGCTCTAAGTAAATGTTGCTCAGAATAATAAATAACCAACTAAAGAAAAGTAATAGTCCAAAAGCAGTTTTTGTTTATTTTTAGTTGGTTTCCTGGAATAATTTTACAGAATTTTTAAAAACAATTTAAGGCTGAAATTTATCAAATATATACGGAAGAGGAAATGTAAAAAGTTAAAGGATTTTTTATGGTATTTGAGTTTAATATAAGCTGCACAGTGAAGTAGTGGGGAGCACTGTTGCCTTGCAGCAAGAAGGTTCCAGGTTAGATTCCCGGCCTGGGTCTTTCTGCATGGGAGAGTACCCATGTTTATATGGGTTCTCTCCGGGTACTCCGGCTTCCTCCCACAGTCCAAAAACATGACTGTTAAGTTAATTGGCTTCTCCTAATTATCCATAAGCTTAAAGTCAAAATTCTTACATTAAATTTTTAATTATTCCAGGACATTAAAGTCAGAATTCTAACTTTTTTCCCCATATTAAATTAATATGAAATAAAAACAATTGTTAACTTCTTTTTTTTTTCTTCAAGTGGCCCCAATCCTCTTTTCTGAAGATTATATGCCGTCGTTTTAAAAACAAGTTCATGCACCTCAGTGAATAAGTTTATTTGAATTGAGTTTAGGGCAGACAAGGTGTTTTGAACGGCAAAAGCTGCAGACTTTTGCTTTAGATGTGAACCTCTAATCTGAAATGTATTTACTAGCAGTAAACAAAATATCAACAGAATTTAGAGAAATCAAGTATTGAAAACTTCAGAATTTCTGTAATTAACCTGTTTTACAGATTTAATTTATAAAAACAAACACATTTTTCAACAAGACTAATCTTTTGAAAAAGTCTGGATTTACAGTTTTTATGACTATATTGTTTAATAATCACAAGAAGACCAAGTTGGCATAAAAAGGGTCCCCTCTCACCAGGTACTTGGGGCTCCCCTCGGGGTGTCTGTCCAGGTCTCCTTGCAGGTCGGCCAGATCCTGGTTTATGCCTTCCAGCTCAGCTTGGAGGCCCTTGTACTCAACATGGTCCCGGTCAAACTCCTTTTTGTAGCTTAGACGCTCGTGTTCATCCATAATGGCTGGAAACAGACTGTAAATCACAGAAAAGTCAGCTTTGAAGAGTTTTACATGATTTCTAAAGAAATAATCTGTCAATTGCAGACTGTTGGACTGATTTACTTAAGCCAAGCAACAGGATGTCCTTACAGCTAGTTTACAAGAAAGTTTTTAGCCTAGTTTTTAGGTTTTGGTGAAAAAGATGGTAATAGATTTTCTGACGTTCTTGTTTTCGAAGTTCAGAAGTAGCCAATTCTCTGTTTTTTGCAGCCAAAGCGAAGTCATTAGCTAGGTGGATTAAAGGCCACAGTATACAGAGTCCTGGTAACTGAAGCTGCAGGAGAACAGCTGCCCTTTTATCTCAGCCTGCTACCTGGAAGTCCCACAGAGGGCTGCTGGGCCATCACCCAAGATATCAGTGATGTTGGTGCAAATAAAAAAAAAGAAAAGAGAGATAAATAATGCCTGGAGAGGACTGACATGTTTAAGAGTTCCTCTAAAGTAAAGGTTTCCACAGAGTAGGGGGCAGTGAGCAGAATAAAGGCACAAAAATGATAATAAACCGGTGTTAAAATACACATCAGAGAGAACATAAGGTTATATAACTCCCATCATATTCCAAAGATCTCACAAGTTTTAGCTTCTTCCAGAATGTGGGATCAGTTGAAGTTTTGATAACACTCACAAAATTGTGATTACCTCATTACACAGTGAGAAATTTCTTATGCTCTTGTCACACCTTAACGATTTAGACCAGCGTAGGCCTGACGTATAAAACAATCTGATACGAAAGGTATGCTAGCGTTTTGTCAGA